CTGGACATGGGAACCGCTCCTAGCGCTGCAGAGCTGCCCGGTCGTGACCACCACCGACTTTAACCAGTGCGAGCACGGGGGCAAGGTCGGGCGCGCGCCGACGCGCATTGTTGGCCTCCGAATGAGAGGCGCGCACACGCGCCTCACGGCGACGCCTGGACGAGGGCGCTGCTCGCATGGGCGAGGAGCGCGCACCACCCTCCTCGGGAAAACAGAGGGGCGTTTTCCGCACGGCGGCCAAGAAGGTCTACCCTGCGGGCCTCTGCAAGGCCTTGGCTAATGCCATGATCGACACGGTGTCAGAATTCGTGTCCCCCGAGCTCGGCTCCACTGAGCTGGAAGGAAAAGGGTGCCCAGGGGTGAACGGTCTCGGGGATTTTTTCGCGGGGTCGGTTCCGGAGGAAGGGGAGGGCCAAGAGTGGGCCCCGGATTTCAGTCAGCGAACCAGGAGCCCCCCGCCCGATCCCGAGCGTCATCGGTTCCGTTGGCCCGAGGTCCGCGCTGTGGCCAAGCTGCGCCCCCCCTTCGAGGAGCCCGACAGCAGGGGCCCCTGTCCGACCCCCGACCCCTTGGAAGACCTCACCTAAGAGGACATCTTCGCTGCCGTTGTGGGCCTCGAGCCCCCCTCGTCCCCTGTCTCCGTGCCTCCACCTCCTTTCCCTGCCCCTCCCGCTCCCCTGACCGAGCAGCAGCGAGAGCGAATTGCGAGGAACCGAGACGAAGCGATCCGGAGGAGGCACTTCAGGAGAGCCCCGTAGATTGCTCAGTCCAATGTGCGGTTCAATTTCTAACTTTCGGGGGCCCCTTCATAAGCTGAGGGCGCCCTCTGCCTCGACGCAGGGGTGCGTCGTGGTTTGACCCTCGGCACACGCAGCTGCGTTCAAACCTGTGCCCACCACCTCCCCCCTCCTCCTCCCCCTCCTCCTCCTCCTCCTCCTCCTCCTCCTCCTCCTCCTCCTCCTCCTCTTCCTCATCCTTTTCTTCCTGCTCCTCCTCCTCGTCCTCCTCCTCCTCTTCCTCCTCCTCCTCCTCGCCTCCTTCTCTTCCTCCTTGTCGCATCTCGCCTCCGTCCGCCCCCCTCCTTCTTTCGAGTCCCACCTCCCTCCTCCGCCTCCCTCCTCTCTTCTCCCTGCTCCTCCCTCTTCGCTTCCTCCTCCCCGCCCCTCCCTTGATCCAACTTTTGCGACCGCGGTCATCCTTGGAATCCCCACCCTCCCCTGCCCTCCCCCCCCCTCCCCTCCCGCCGCGGAGGCGTGCCTGCGTGCTGGTGTCCACGTACAGGCGCCCCCCCCCCCCCCCCCCGCGCTGGGGCGCCCGTCTGGGGGAAGGGAGCCAGAGAAGGAGGAATGAGGAGGAGGAGGAGGAGGAAAAGGAGGAGGAGGAGGAGGAGGAGGAGGAGGAGGAAGAGGAAGAGGAAGAGGAGGAAGAGGAAGAGGAAAGACAGAGGACGGAGGACGGACACGGAGGACGGAGGACGGAAGGGAGGAGGAGGAGGAGGAGGAGGAGGAGGAGGAGGAGAGAAAGGAGGAGAGAGGGAGGAGGAGGAGGAGGAGGAGGAGGAGGAGGAGGAGGAGGGAGGACAGATGACGGAGGACGGAGGACGGAGGGAGCTGGAGGACGGAGGGAGCTGGAGGACGGAGGAGAAGGAGGAGGAGGAGGAGGAGGCCTCTGGGCGGCGAAGGGCAGCAACAAACACATACCCGTAGGGCGGCCCGTAGGTGCTCCAACCGAGCCCGCCATGTTGTGCATTGTCGGGCTCGCTGAGCCAGCCGGCGGAGTTGCGGAAGCGGTTGCAAAAGAACATTGGTTGTCGTTTCGCGCTGAACCAGCTTGCCGGCCAGTGCCCGCGGCAGCCTCACAGCGGCACCGCACGAGCGAGGAGGCGGAGGAGGAGGACCACAGGAAGCCCAAGGTGCATGAACGATGCTGCACTACACCCTCTCGTCCCAGGTCCCCTCTTCACAAGTCCCGCGCAAGCCTTCGTCTTCGGTGCAAGAAGCGCCACCTGGAAAGACGAAAGACCAGATCCCCACGGGCATGCCATTCATGCGAGAGCCCCGTTTTGAAAGAACTGCCTTGCATCCTTCTAGCGTGTAGTAGGAGTTGTGAACCGTCCTCCATCCGGACACCCTTCACGCATGTCCAACTTGCTGGTCTAAAGCGAGAGCCCCATTTTGAAAAGAAGCCGCCCTCCAGCAAGGTAGTTGTTGTACATGTTCAAGACGAGAGTGCACGGCGCTGGGGCGGAAGCCACATTTTGAAGACAACCTCCCTCCATCCGTGCAGCTATTGCAAGCTTTGAAGACGAATGCGCGCGGCACTAAGGCGAGAGACCCGTTCAAACATCCACCCATCCATCAGCGAAATTCTTGCAAGCTTTCAACATGAGTCTGGGCAGATCTGAAGCGAGGGTCACATTAGAAATCGGCCTCCCCCCTCCGTCCGTGAAATTGCTGCAATCTTCAAGCTTCAGAACTCTCAATGTTGAGGAAGTCTCAGGAGAACGCCTGGCCCGGCCTACCGAAAAGGGGTTGGAAGGAGGGAGGGGGGAGGGACGAGGGGACGTGGAGGATGACTGTCTTGCCCGCGGCTCGAACGACTTGTCGGGAGGGTGTCCATGAGCATCAGGGTGTGCCAATTTCGCGTGGGTCCTTCCCGGGAGGAGAGGTGCTTCTTCTCGAGGCGCGGTGGAACGAGTGGCACACGCGCGCCGTGGCCCCTGCACGCGGGAGCAGCGAGGGACAGGAGGAGGCGGAGGATGAGGAGGGCGAACCGGTTGAGAACATCCTGCACCCTGACTCCGGATCCGCCCTACTTTGGGGAAATTCGTAAGTAGGGCTTGGAATCCGCCTTACTTTTCAAGCCCCGCTGATGCCAAGTTCCGCCCTACTTTTCTGTTGCTGTTTCCGTGGATGTCCGCCCTATCTTATGTTGGGTGCAGCAGTTTCCGCCCTACTTTTTCGGCCTCTTATAGGTGGATTTCCGACGCAATTTCAACTTGGAAAAAAAGCCAAAGTAGGGCGGATCTGAAGTCAGGGTTCCGTGGGGCCACACGGGGCCGAAAAAGTAGGGCGGAAATTGCTGCACCCAACATAAAATAAGGCGAAAATCCACAGAAGCAGCAACAGAAAAGTAGGACGGAAATTGGCATCAGCGGGGCTTGAAAAGTAAGGCGGAAATCCCAAGCCCCACTTACGAATTTCCCCAAAGTAGGGCGGATCCGGAGTCAGGGAGGGGCTTCCGTGGGGCCACACTGGGCTCTCCTGTGTGCTCTCTTGGGCCTGGCCCATGGTCCGGGGCCCCTTCGGGCCTGCCAGGCGGGGGCCGATCGGCACGGCCTGGGGGGCCGCCCGGGGACATGGCGGGACTCCGGATCCGCCCTACTTTTTGGGGAAATTCGTAAGTGGGGCTTGGAATTTCCGCCTTACTTTTCGAGCCCCGCTGATGCCAATTTCCGCCCTATTTTTCTGTTGCTGTTTCTGTGGATTTCCGCCCTATCTTATGCTGGGTGCAGCAGTTTCCGCCCTACTTCTTTTCCGGCCTCTCATAGGTGGATTTCCGACGCAATTTCCAGTTGGAAAAAAAGCCAAAGTGGGGCGGATCCGGAGTCAGGGGGGGGGGTAAGGGCTCCACGCGTGTTTCCTCGATGCTTCCCGACCCCCCCCCGCTGGAAATCGAGGGGGTATAAGTAATCTGGGGTAAGTAATTTAATCTGAGCCTTCGGGCTGGGGGGGCAGGAGCTCCACGTGTGCTTCCTCGATGCTTCCCGACTTCCCCCCCCCCCCCACTGGAGATCGGGGGGGTAAATCTCTGAGCCTCCGGGCCGTGGGGCCACACGGGGCTCTCCTGCTGTGCTCTCGTGGGCCCATGGTCCGGGGCCCCTGCGGGCCTGCCGGGCGGGCCGGCCGATCTGCACGGCCCGGGGGGGGCCGCCCGGGGGACACGGCGGGGCCATCGTGGCGTGGGCTTCGGGCCGTCCTGGGGCCATCTGTCGGGCCGGACGAAAGGGGGGGATTGGGAAACCCTGACTCCGGGTCCGCCCTGCTTTGGCTTTTTTTCCAACTTAAGATTGCGTCGGAAATCCACCTAGAAGAGGCCGAAAAAGTAGGGCGGAAAGTAGGGGCCATCTGTCGGGCCGGACGAAAGGGGGGTATTGGGAAAGGGGGGGTTACGACGCCGACGGCGCCAGCGCCTACGGCTGGGAGCCCGGCGGCAGCTGGGAGGCCGGCGGCAGCTGGGAGGCCGGCGGCATCGAAGAAGCATCGGGAAGCATCGAAGAAACACACGTGGAGCCCTTACCCCCCCCCCCCCTGACTCCGGATCCGCCCTACTTCTTGGCTTTTTTTCCAACTTAAAATTGCGTCGGAAATCCACCCAGAAGAGGCCGAAAAAGAAGTAGGGCGGAAATTGCTGCACCCAACATAAGATAGGGCGGAAATCCACAGAAACAGCAACAGAAAAGTAGGGCGGAAATTGGCATCAGCGGGGCTTGAAACGTAAGGCGGAAATTCTAAGCCCTACTTACGAATTTCCCCAAAGTAGGGCGGATCCGGAGTCAGGGAGGGGGGGTTGCGAAATTTGCTGCATGCAGCTGGTTTCGGCCTCACCGAGGTGCCCATTCCTCGATACATAGCCGCCTCCGGCGCCGGGAGGCGCCGTGAAAATCAGCTACGTGAGCTGATTCTCAAACCCCCCCTTTGCTATCCCCCCCTTTCGCCCGACCCGAATCTGGGTGCCCGCGTGGCGGAGTATGCGAGATCTCGTCATAAAAGGGAGGGGGTCTGGACCCTCCAAGACAAGCCATTTCAGACCCCCCCCGTGGGAGAACCCTCCAAAACATCGCCCCCAGACCCCCCCAGGCCCTCCAAGATAGCCTGGAAGAGACCCCCCCCGAAATGAGACCCCCCTCCCTTTATTACGAAATCTGGAGTATGCGAGATGCAGTGCGACGGACGGCCAACGCGGGTGATCCAAGCTCTGTCCATCCGGCTCGGGAGGGGCCACGACTGGCAGCGCCGTGCGCGCACCGATGCGGGGTCGTCACGCTCCCCGGCGCGGCGGTGTTCCCGGTTGCCTGTCCGATGGACTCTTCGAGGCGGATGCTTCAGGGGCCAGGTTGGATAAGGGACCACAGAAACGAGTCGTGCGACGTCTTGCTTTTGATATTCGAACTTCTGCTCTTGCCGCCCAGCTTCCTCGGCTTCGGCGGCAAGCGCAGCGGCCTGGAGCTCAGTTGGAGATGCTATCAATATCTGCTTGAACATCGGCCACACTCCGTGCATGCAAATCGAACCTGGAGGAAAGGGTTATGTGATAGCATGGGTCACACAAGAGGGGCACCGGTTATTCTCTACTTGTCAATATTGCATGTCTTTAATTGGGAGCGGACATGTAGGAACGATTTCCGTGTTTGGGTCAGTGTGCCTGGTTTCAGCATAGGGTTGGTTGCCGTCATGTATTCCATCTCGGTCCGCGCCCATGTGTAGATGTCAGATGTTGTTGGAATCAAGTTGTTAGCATCGTGGGTCGCGCACTTCATGCATATAAAGTTGTTCGCTGTTTGCCATAATCCATTATTGATGCATGCTATGTTGTTGAGTTTCATGTTAGGCGTCTGCGCTTCCTATATGACAGTTCATGTCATGTGTTCGTCTTATTGCTGAGAGGGCTGCGGCCATGTCGTGCGCATGTTCCTCGTTTCAATCATTCAGCTCTCGACAGTTCCATGTATGCATGTTGTGGTGCCAGCAGATGGACCATTATCTTTGTTTGCGCCCAGTCCATACCTTTCGGAAAAGGCAATCAGGTTGCACACGAGTAAGCGTTTTCACAGTCACATCGCAATGCCATACCGAACGGCGTTCAGCTGTACCGAGCGGCGTTCATACCGAGCGGCGATCAGCTGTACCATAGGCAGACACTTCCAGTTCGCAAGGTCTTAGTGATTTGTTCGCGTCAGTCAACGATCAGCAATTATGGGGTTCAGAGCAAAATCTGTGTTTTTCGCTGGCATTGCCAACGCACGTTCGTTGGAGTGCATGTAACTCATTGTGTTGTGTATTGGATGTGCCATCGTCATCAGCAGCTCGATGCTGAAACGGTCAAAAATACATTATACTTGGGAAGCTACATGAGTCCTGCAGGTGATGGGTGGTGCAAGGCAGGTTGGGCAGGCACATAATGGGGCTCCCGGCTTGACAGAGAGCTGTGCTGCATCAGAAGGGTATGTCCAAATATTCCAGGCATCAGCAGCGCTCTTCTTCCTCCTCCTCGTCCATCCTCCATCCTCTCTCATCCCTCCGTCTCCTCTTCTTCTGTTTTCTCGTCTTCCTCCTGTTCTTCCTCCTCCCGCTTCCCCCTCTTTCTCTGCGCTACCTTCTCGCCCCGCTCCTCCTCGTGACTCCATCCCGGCCCATGCTGAGGCGACGGCGAGCTCGTGCTGTCGCAGGTGCAGTCCCTCGAATGGGGCTTGATGATTGTGGACGAGGCCGCTCCACGCCACGCGCCACGGAGAGGAGGCGAGGACGAGGAGGGGAGCGCTGCGCGCTCCGGCCCGTGCGCTCCCTGCGGCACTCGGTGCCACCGCGACGGGTGCCTGGTGGTGCCCAGCAGCGGGTAGCCCGGCAGCGCGCAAGAGAGCGGCGAACAGAAAGGCAGGAGAGCGCCACCTCCGCGCGAGACGCCGCAGGCACGCGGCGGGAACGCGACACCATCCTGCGCGTCAGTCCGAGCCTGGGGCTGCTCGGTACCCGTCGAGGTGGCGCCGAGGCACGCACCACCTTTCATGATCTTCAGGACGTGTGCCAGCCCGAGATGTGTGTCTGCCCCGTTCGGCTCCGCCGATAGCGCGCAGCTTGTGTCGGTCCTTCCCGCACCGCCTGCGTCGTATTGGGGGGCTTCGGTGGACCAGCACACGCTCGGCGCGGGCACGTGTGCTGAGGATCGGCGGCCAGCCCAGGGGGGGAAGTGAAGAGGGGCGGGCCTTCTCAGAAGGCTCGGACGACCCCGAGGGCACGGAAAAGTTCTCAGAAGGCCGGGGGACTTCTGAGAAGCCCCGCCGCCTTCCGAGAAGGCCAGCCCCTTCTCACTCCATCCCCCTGTCTCGCCGCCTAGAGGATCATCGAATAGGGGACCGCATGCGAACCCTACCCCTACCCCCCACGATTTCTGAGGGGGAGGGTGGGATTCGCTTCGCTCGGGAGCTCCCGAGCGCAGGGAACCCCACCCTCCCCCTCAGAAATCGTGGGGGGTGGGGGTAGGGTTCGCATGTGGCCCCCCAGGAGATTTCACTTGGGAAATTAACATTTTTGGGGTAGGGTACAACCCCAAAATCAAGTAATATTTGGGGTAGGGTTCGCATGTGGCCCCCTACCTAGAGGGTCATCGAACCCCGGGCGCCCCCTCCCAGGTCCAGGTCATGCCGGCGCGCACCTTCCGCACGGTGGCCACCACCGTGAAGGCCCACTGCATCCTCGGCCTCACCGCCACGCTGGTGCGCGAGGAGCCGCGGGCTCTCCTGCTCTGCCGCTGCTCTGCCGCTGCTCCGCCTCCTCCGCTCCGCCTCCCCGTCTTCGCTCCGCTTCCGTCTCCTCCTCTCCTCCTCCTCCTCCTCCTCCTCCTCCTCCTCCTCCTCCTCCTCCTCCTCCTCCTCCTCCTCCTCCTCCTCCTCCTCCTCCTCCTCCTCCTCCTCCTCCTCCTCCTCCTCCTCCTCCTCCCTCCTCCTCCTCCTCCTCCTCCACCTCCCCCTCCTCCTCCTCCTCCTCCTCCTCCTCCTCCTCCTCCCTCCTCCTCCTCCTCCTCCTCCTCCTCCACCTCCCCCTCCTCCTCCTCCTCCTCCTCCTCCTCCTCCTCCTCCTCCTCCTCCGTCTCCTCCACTCCTCCTCCGCCTCCGCTCCCGCCTCCGCCGCCTCCTCCTCGTCCTCCCCCACCTCCACCTTGGCGTGGCGGACCATTCCCTGACCGCTCTCTTGGGCATTCGAGACATCGCAGGCCTAGAGGTTAACACCAACACCAAGATCGGCGGTGTGCTTCCACCGAGGGAAGAAGATCCCGATCTCGGTGATGGTGGTAATATTCTGGCTTCCAAGGTGACCGAAATATTACCACCAACACCGAATCCCCTTTTCCAGGCCTCCAAGAGACAGCCAACACCGTGGAGCACGACAGCTCGTCTTTCTGCCTGCGTGGAGAACGCAGAACAGTGAGCTGGCCAGCAGCATACTGCAACAAGGCCGTCCCTCGTGGATCATCAGAGCCTGCCCCCGCCTCCGCTCCCCCCCCCTCTCTCCGTCTCGTCAGCCGCCTGCCGTTCACTCTCGCTCCCCGTCCTCGCCCCCTGCCGATTCGACTTATGATGTTCCAACCTACTTTAGCCTTGATTACATAAAGAATTTCGAGCGCACCGAAAAATGCCGAAACTCGAGGGTCTTCAAGTGTCGGGCCCTGGGAGACACTCGCCCGACACTGTTTCGACACTGTTTCGACACTCTTTTGACACTCTTCCGGGTGCTCGAAAATATTTCTGGGATGTGGTCCTCAAGTCGGATGGGAACAGCATAAGACTAGACGTAAGAGTGACCTTTCGCCGGAGTGACCTTCGGTGCGCGCCCTGGGCTCCCCTGACCGCCGAACGCGAGGCGGCAGTGCCGTCTTGCGCGCTCGTGTCTGGCCCCCCCGCGGCCCGCAGAAAGCCGCGCTCCAAAGGTCACCCTTGCCCCTTGGCATCGCTCGGACGTGTGCATTTTTCCTTCGGCGAGGACCATCGAGGAGCATCCTTGATCATGTGGCGAAAAAACCACGCACGAAACCGAAAAAAGCACAGGGAATGGACGTCCGAGCGATGGCGAGACCCAGGGCCACTCTTGCGTGCAGTCGACTCTGGCACCCTGCGCCGCTGGGCAGCGAGGCCGCCACCGCACTGCAGTCGGATGCCACAACAAAAAAACATGACCATTGTCGGAACTCCGCGCGAATGCCTTGGATCCGCGCTGGAACGCGCGGACGCTTGCCGCCGTTTTTCTCCCTCGATGCCGCGGGGAGAGGGATAAAGGGAAGAAGGGAGGGAGGGAGGGAGGGAGGGAGGGAGGGAGGGGGCGGCGCAGCGGTGGTGCAGGTGGCGGCGGTGACCTGGCGGCCAGCCAGCGTCAGCTCCGCGCGGCTGTCGCCGCGGCGGACTGGTGCGCCGTGTCCTGCGCGAGGGGGAATCAGAAAACGTAAACACAAACGTTAACTTTCGGAGCTCCGCGCGGACTTCTTGGATCGGCACTGGCCCCCCTGGCAGCGCCTCTGGCGCCGCCCCCGGCGCGCTCCGCTCGCCAGGGAGGGGGCCCCGCCCCGATGCAGATCCACGAGATCGGACCTCGGATGACCTCTGAAAGTGTATGTGTAAGCAGCTGTTCTTCCTCTACCGTAGGGGGTGAGCAGCGTGAGCATCGTCAGCGACGGCGGAGCCCGCAGCAGGACAGAGCAAGAGCAGAAGCAGGTGCGTCGGAGGCCTGGACTTTGACACCAACACCAATATCGGCGGTGTGCTTCCACCGAGGGAATATGATCCTGATTTCGGTGATGGTGGTAAGATTTCTTATTTCTAGGAGGCCGAAAGATTACCACCAACACCGAAATCGAGGATCATAATCTCCCTGTCGAGGCAAACCCCCTGTGCTGGTGTTGGTGCCGATTCCCAAGCCTCCAAGTGTGGGCCGTCTGGGGTGGAGGAGCACGAGGGAGGCAACTTCCACGCGTGCTCCTTCTCCCCCCGGCTCATCTCATCCCTCCTTTGCCGCTGAGATGCGACCCGCCAGCCAGCAGATTCGCACCCGCTCACCACTCTTCTCACGCGTACTGCTAGTTGCGCTCGGTCGTCGGCGCGTGCGCTGAGAGAGCTGAGCGCTCTGGCGCAGTCGAGGACAATCTCATCTATGATCTGCACTGGCTCATCGGGCCGAAGCTCTACGAGGCAGCCAGGGCAGTTGCCTGGAAGAGGGATGAGAGACCAAAAAAGATGACCCCGGTGTCAGCAAAGCGGTTGAAGTGGAAGAGAGAGAGAGAGAGAAAGAGACAGAAAGAGAGAGAGAGAGAGAGAGAACATCCCAGTGGACCTGCACACAAGCAGACGCGCATCAGTGCGCACGTGTTTGCCCATGAATGTATTTGCAGCTGCTTGTCCGTCCGTCCGCTGAGGTACCCTGCTTGCGTCCCGGTGCCCTTCCTTCCAAGCCAGTCGCCGTCGCCCGTTTGCCCACCAAGAAGCGTTGTCGACTCCTCAGGATCTCCCCCTCCCCCCTCGCCCGAACCCCCTGCGCGCGCCGCCGCATTGTTTTCCAGACATCCGCATCCAGCTGTCGCGATCTCAAGTGGTAACGTGGGCCCAAGGACCTCTCGACCAGATCCTGGGGATTGAGTTTTCGCCCCAGCCGTTTCTTGCGATTCCCCAGGGCCCAGGAATGTGATCCTCTGGAGGCCCAGAGTTTCACCACCTACCAAACCACCCCAACCCAACCTGAAGGCATCAATTTGCCCTCCATTTCCAGTGGGGGGGGGGTCGGGGAACGTTGAAAAAACACATGGAACCCGTACCCCCCCCACAACCCGAAATTCGGGTCAAATTCGGGTCTTCGGGTTGGGTTGGGGTCAGAGTTGGGCAGGGCTGCCCGTCTTGATTCTTCCGTGGCCTTCCTGGCAAGTCGACTCGCGCACCTCTCCGGGGTTTGTTCTGGCCAATGTCTCGAGGCGGATCCATCCAGGGGCCACGAGGAGCTTCCTGGATCCCCCCCCGCCCCCCAAAAAACAGCCAGAGTCCAGTATCCCCAAGCAGCAATTTTGAGCCAAGGTGGCTCATAAGAGTCTTCGCGCGTCCTCCTGCTTCTGATCCGCCTGCGCCGTCGGCATCGTCGTCGAGCTTTTCGTCATCGTCGTTGTCCTCCTCCTCCTCCTCCTCCTCCTCCTCCTCCTCCTCCTCCTCCTCCTCCTCCTCCTCCTCCTCCTCCCCCTTCTCGTACGCTCGTCTCCTCCCCCTTCTCCTCCTCCTCCTCCCCCCCTCCTCCTCCTCCTCCTCCTCGTCCTTCTCCTCCTCCTCCTTCTCCTCCTCCTCCTCCACATCCATTGTAAGCTGGGCCCGACACGAGAGGCCGTTGAGAGCTGGATGCAGGCGCACCCTTGCAAAGGAAGAGTTTTTGCTTCATGTTATAATGTGCCCCTGCCGATTTTGCCCTCCGCATACCCCTCTCTTACAGTGGGAGGTAAAACCGTGCACCCGACACATTCGCTGCATATCATGAATGGTCAACTGTGGTGCACGAAGTGTGCGAGGCTCGGCAGTCGCACGAGCACCGGAGGAGGCAGGCTTAACCAACTCCCCGTCCCTTGTCCAGGTGGTGTGGGCACCGACAGTGGTAGGGAGGCTTTGCGTAGGTTGGCCAATTGTCTGCCCCCGAATGTCTCGGCCAAGGTTTGGCCCTCAGGGCAGCCCATAATGCCCCTCAAAGCCTGCAAAGCCACGCGAGCTCGCCCGAAGTAAGGGTCGGTCACAAGGGCCGCGGCGTGTCCTAGGCCACGACCGCGCCCCCTCGGTGGGCCGATCCTCCTCCTCCTCCACATCCGCGTCGTGCTCCTTCTCGCCCTCGCCCTCCTCCTCCTCCTCCTCCTCCTCCTCCTCCTCCTCCTCATTATCATCCCCCTCCTTATCTTTTCCTCCCACTCCTCCTCGTCGTCCTTCTCCTCCTCCTCCTCCTCCTCCTCCTCCTCCTCCTCCTCCTCCTCCTCCTCCTCCTCCTCCTCCTCTCCACTGCGGATGTGGCTCGCGCCGTGGAGGTGGGCGACGCCGCCTTGCCCAAGCGCGCGCCCCTCCGTTTCGACGCCTCCCCCTTCGCCCCCAGCCTCGGCGTCGCCGTCGCGAAAGACGCCCCCGACGGGGAGGCGGAGGTGAGCGGTCCTCGGGCGCCTGTGGGAGATCGTCGTCTTCCTCGCAGCGCGCGGCAGGCGCCAGAGTGGTGCTGCAGGGGGCGAGGTTGGAGTCCCTCCTCGGTGAGTCCCTCGCGCAGCAGTTTTGAGGAGCGAGCAGCCGACGAGCAATTCTGGCTCGCCGGACTGACGTTCATTACAGGGTCGGCGGCGCTGTGCATGCGCGAGGTGTCCTTGCCGATCCGCGCTCTTGCGAGCGCTTCCATCTTCTACCTGATCGCGGCGAGGGTCGCTCCTGCGGTTGTGGTCGTGCTTGGGGGCGCCCTCCGACATGCTCCGATATGCTCCTCCTCCTCCTCCTCGTCCTCGTCCTTCTCCTCTTCCTCCTCCTCCTCCTCCTCTTCTTCATCCTCCTCCTCATCCTGATCCACCTGGTCATCCTCCCCCTCTTCCTCTTCCTCCTCCTCCTCCTCCTCCTCCTCCTCCTCCTCCTCGTCCTGCTCCCTCCTCCTCCTCGTCCTCCTCCTCCTCCTCTTCCTCCTCCTCCCTCCTCCTCCCCTCTTCCTCCTTCTCCTCTCCTCCTCCTCCTCCTCCTTCTCCTCCTCCTCCCCGTCCTCCTCCTCCTCCTCCTCCTCCTCCTCCTCCTCCTCCTCCTCCTCCTCCTCCTCCTCCTCCTCCTCCTCCTCCTCCTCCTCCTCCGCCTCTTCCTCCGTCTCCTTCTCCTCCTCCTCCTCCTCCTCCTCCTCCTCCTCCGCCTCCTCCTCCTCCTCCTCCTCCTCCTCCGCCTCCTCCTCCTCCTCCTCCTCCTCCTCCTCCTCCTCCTGCTCCTCCTCCTGCTCCTCCTCCTCCTCCTCCTCCTCCTCCTGCGCCTGACGACGCGTGGCGCGGAACGGGGCTAGTGCCGCTGGCGCGGCGCTTCTATCGCCAGAGACGGCTTGCACGCCCTGCAGGACTGCCCCAGGGCGGAGGAGGCGGCGGCGGCGTTGGCCGCCGGCACGCAGTGGGCGGGGCTGCTTCAGCGACGCTGCTCGCAGCCCTCCGCGCCGAGCTCGACCCGGAGGCAGGGCTGGCGGTTGCAGCCGCGCTCGCCCGCGAGGCATGCAGCGGCTTCTGAGGCGGCGGCGGGCGGCGGCGGCGGCGGCGGCCCGCTTGGCAGCGCCGCCAGGGACGCTGTTGGGGACGCCGCCCGCCACCGCCTGCCGCGAGGCGGGACGTCGGCCCAGGCTGAGCCACCTGGCTGTGCCGTGGGGCCCGTCCTTAAAAATATATATGGTGTTTGCCAGCATTGGCTTGCCGCCAATCAGTTTCCGCCAAGCCGACCCTGCGGCCACACACGAAGAAAAAGGGAGAGAGGAGGAGAAGTGGGGGAGGGAGGGGGGGAAGGAGGGAGGGAGGGAGGGATGTAGAGAGGGAGGGGAGGAAGGGAGGGAGAGGAGGGAGGAGGGAGGCGGGAGGAGGGAGGAGGGAGGAGGGGAAGAGGGAGGAGGGAGGGGGGAGGAGGGAGGAGGGAGAGGCACGAGCGCGTGCGGCGCGGCTCTGGGGCGGCGGCGTTCGTTCGGCGGTCGGCGGCACGGCCGCGCTGCGGGTGCGGAGGCGAGCTGGCAGCAGCTCCAGGAGGAGGGCTTCATTGCGCGGGTGCGCTGCGTCGAGGCGCCTCGGCGGCCCTGCCGGAGCCTCCAGACCTCGACGCCTGGACTTCGGATCCGCCCTACAGTCGGGGCCCTGAAGAAGGAACCCTTTCGTTGGGGAGGGGCTCCGCGTTCCTTAAGTGTTTCGCAGCTTGCCTTAGATGTTCCTTAGGTTTTCGATACGAAATCGAAGTTCAACTTATGGAAAATAGGGGCCTCGTTCCTCATTTAGGGTTCCTTAGGTCAACGCCTCGACTGTACTTATCCGTCGCTGTTTCCGCCCTGCTGCTCGTACTTCGTGGAAGGAGTTGTGGAATTCTCCGCAGAGCTGAGGAATCTTGCACGAAGTCGTGGGATGTTCCGTAAAGGTATGTCCGCAATCATAGGGCGGAGATGACCGCCTTACATTTCTGAGGCGGAATTTCCCGCCTTACTTTTCTACATCCAACGGGATGAATTTCCGACCCATTTCGCAAGTCGGAGAAACAACCAAAGTATGGCGGATCCGGAGGCAGGGCAACGTATGAACAAAAACGAAACGGCTTTGTGTGTTTCTCGTTGTCGATACTTGGGGGTTCTGGGCCCCGGGACCGTCAAAAACGATCCAGGCGATCATCATCTTCATCCTCATCCTTCTCTCTGCCCGCCTCTACCCGCTCCTCCACCTCTTCCTGGCTTCTTCCTCCCCCTCATCATCCTCCTCGTCCTCCTCTTCCTCCTCCTCATCCTCCTCCTTGCCCTCCTCCTCCTCCTCCTCCTCCTCCTCCTCCTCCTCCTCCTCCTCCTCCTCCCCCTCGTCCTGCAGCGGCGGGCAACTCATCCAACCACCAATCCAGCACGGAACAAGTCAAGACCTCGGCAGTGTGGGTCTCCGGGCCGCGCGTGCTGCCCGCAGAACCCGGCGATGTCATTTCGGAGGTCGGGCCTCCGTCTTTGGAGGGACGGAGCTTCCAGCCTGGAAGGGCAGAAGCTGTCGGGATGGAGGCCGAGCCTCCACTTTGAAGGCTTTTGATCTTCTGGGTGGCCGCCTCGCCGATCCTGGGCAGTCCGAGGGTGGGAGAGCGCTACGCGTGCCAGTGTCGCAGGGCGTGGCAGGCGTGGCAGATGCTCGACACCGGAGGTGGTCCGCATGGGGTGGGAGCGCTGTGCGTGCCAATGTCGCCAGGGCGTGGCAGGCGTGGTACTTTCTCGACGACACCAGAAGGCCAGAAGGGGGTCCGCATGGGTCGGGAGCGCTATGCGTGCCGATTTCGCAGGGTGTGGCAGGCGTGGCATCTTCTCGACACTCCGAATGGGGCGTGCCACTGTCGCAAGGCGTGGCAGGCGTGGCATGTTATCGACACCCGAAGGGGGTCCGTGGGGGGAGAGCGCTACGCGTGCCAATGTTGCAAAGTGTGGCAGGCGTGGCACTCTCTTGACACCAGACGGTGTTCCTCATGGGGTGGGCACGCTTTGCGTGCCAATGGCGCAGGGCGTAGCATGGCAGCGGCGTCTGCCGCCAGGTGCATTGGCGAGGGCATGCGTCACAACCAGACCTGCAGACACCTTGGCTCCAGCCGGCTCGAAGGCAGCAGGCGCGGCCTTTCCGTCCGAGAGGTTTTCCGCCCTTCGCTCTGCCGCGCGTGCAGCGCGGAGACTTCGCGTCGAAACGCTGCGCCCCGCGCCGGAATCGCCAGAGAAGTGCGGCGCAGGGATGGATCTAACCAGGGCGGAGTCGACGGGGGGGAGGAACGGGGAAAGGAGGAGAGGAGGAGGAGGAGGAGGAGGAGGAGGAGGAGGAGGAGGAGGAGGAGGTGGAGGTGGAGGGAAGGAGGAGGAGGAGGAGGGAGGAGGTTCGCGCGCTGCTGCGTTGCTAGCGTTGGGACCTCGCGAAGAGCACGGCAAATTTGAAGAACAGTTTGATTTGAAGTTCAGAGACGCAGGGTAGGACATGGCACGTGAACCCACGCGGCCTAAAACTACCATGTGGAGTCCCTGGGTAACGGAATCTCTCCTTGAAGGATCACAGGCGACCCTGGGGTGCGGCAGCGGTGCAAGCCTCTCCTGGTGTCGAGTCTTCCTGCTCTGCCCCTGTGTACCCCTGCGCAGCGTTGTTCGGCACAAGTCTGGCGCAGCTTGCGTCGCAACAGCCGGCGCCAGCCGAGCCCACCTTGGGGCCATTCCTCCCATCAGGACGATCGAAATTGGCACGGAAAGACTGGGCACAAAGAGCGACAGCATTTCCGGTTCCTTTTCGAACAGGGCTCGTTGTCGGCGCCGCCGCGGACGTTGTCCATTTGAGACAGAAGGCCGCCTGCCCAATAGCGGCCGTTGCCGGTGTGGGACAACATTTGAGCGACGCGAGGACACGGGGTCGTCTGCGCCGACGTTGGCGCGTAAGCTGCCCGCGAAAGGTCACGCGTGAGCGCTCTCGTCTCCCACGCAGTGCGCCGCCCGGGTGGCCCGCGTAAACCACCCTGTAAGGTCATTATGCCACCTCGCGAAAAGCGAAAAACCCGTTCCAAATCGTCGCTCACTCGTTGTTGGGCAGCGTGCCCACGTTTGTTGGTGTCCGTTTCGGGCGTCCAAGCCCTACAGTCAAAAACCCTGATGAGGACGCGCGACTTTGCTCAGGGTACCCTTGCGTCCTTGCTCTTCCTTGCTCTTGCGTCCTTGGGGTTCTCGTCGCCCGCCGCCCCCAAAATCCCAACTTCGGCTTCCAAGCGTCTTGCGTCCTTACCACGCGTCCTTCCTAGGGTTTTTGACTGTACACCTTAGGCGATGCTTAAGAAAACCAAAGTTTTCGGCCAGAGTCTCGATTATCCTTAATGTTTCCATGTAAATCCAAAGATTTGAACAGACATTTTGGGTTTTTATTCAAATTCTGAGACTATGAATTTCTTAACCCATGATTTCTAAAGCATTTCGCAGACTGCACGCCTGGTGCCCAGCAGCAGAACGGGGCGGGCAGGCACGGCTCGGCGCGCCAGCTCGGGCGGGCAGGCCCTGCCGGCCGCGCTGCGCGTCGTGCAGAGGTCGGCGTCTGATCAGCATGCAGATCGGGCCGAACGAGAGGGTACCGGGTAACCATCATCATCGTCAGCATCAGCATCACCATCATCATCATCATCATCGGGACTCCATCGTCATCATCATCATCGTCGCCTCATCATAATCATCACGAACAACATCATCAACATCATCATCATCATCATCATCATCATCATCATCATCATCATCATCATCATCATCATCATCATCATCATCATCATCATCATCATCATCATCATCATCATCGGGACACCATCATCATCATCAACAACATCATCGCCAGGACCCCGGGTAAGGGGACCCGGTTAGTGGTAGGGCCCTGGGGCCCTTCAATGGGCCAGATTCACCAAACCAGGTTTGCCGTAGCTGGTGCTCTTCGGGTGGCGGCAGTTCCGGTCAGTGGGAATGGGACGGGGGGGCGCCCCCGGCACAAATCACTAAACCAGGTTCCACTAAACCCAGTTCTGCCAACGCCCGAGGGTAGGATGGGGAAAGAGGGAGTGACGAAGTCTGCTGCATGCAGCTGGTTTTCGCCCCGCCGCCAGGCCCGCTCTTCCATACATGGGCGCCTCCCAGCGCCAGGGGGCGCCAGGAAAACCAGCTGCGTGAGTTGGTCATCTACCCCTGCCCTTTCGCATCCTGCCCTTTCGTGCCCCCGAGCAGAGCCCTTGTCATTCCGTGGCTGGCTCAAAAGTACAGCCAAGACGCTGGAATAAAAATTGGGGCTGAGGAGGGGATCTGGTGTTAGGGCCGCTCCTCAGGTCGATGATGTCGGGGAACCTCTTCGTGGCCGAGGCTCGCCGTGGCCAGAACAGCCCCTTCGTTCCTCATCCAGCGTCCCCGAAGGTCGCGCGATGGCCGTCTCAGGTGGTTTTCGGGCCTTAACTCGGGCCTCAGGCATCCGTTCGGGACGATCCGGGCACCCCAGGGACGCTCTCGGCGAGGCGCAGGTGCTGACTGGCATCCCGCGGATAGAGAACCGCCGACAGCCGAGGAAGACGCCAAACAGCCTCGAACCTCGAGCCCGAAACGTTCCTTGTTCACCATTCGTTAGCGCGATGACTGCACGTTGTGAATCGAGGCGGTGGCTTTTGGCGCCGCGCACGCCTCGCGTGCAGGTGTGGTGCGAGATGACCAGGGCGTTCTTCGCCGAGTACCTGCGGGGGCAGGACGAGAAGGCCCTCCGCTAGAGAGAGGGACGGGCCTGGCGTCCCTCCTCCTCCCCCTCCTCCTCCTCCTCCTCCCTCCTCTTCCTCCTCCTCCTCCTCCTCCTCCTCCTCCTCCTCCTCCCTCCTCTTCGTCCTCCTCCTCCCCCTCCTCCTCCTCCTCCTCCTCCTCCTCCTCCTCCTCCTCCTCCTCTCCTCCTCCTCTCCTCCTCCTCCTCCTCCTCCTCCTCCTCCTCCTCCTCCTCCTCTCCTCCTCCTCCTCCTCCTCCTCCTCCTCCTCCTCCTCCGCCTCCTCCGCCCCCCTCCTCCTCCTCCCCCTCCTCCTCCTCCTCCTCCTCCTCCTCCTCCTCCTCCTCCTCCTCCTCCTCCTCCTCCGCATATGACCTGAAAATCTAGGGGCAGCGTCAGCCTGGCATGGGCTCAGTGAGCGCTGGCTGGCTCCAGATCCGCCCCATTTTGATCGCCACCCGATGTTTTTGAGGCGGAGATGTCCTCCCTACTTGTTCGCTTCGTTTGGGGGTGCGTTTCCGACAGTCTCAAGTCGAAAAATCGACCAAAGTGCAGCGGATCCGAAGCCAGGGGGAGGATTCCGACGAGGCAGAGATATATCGATACTTCTGGCATTCCCTCGCCGCGGTTGGGTTCATCTCGAAAATCTGGTCAGAGCGCACCCCTGGAGAAGACAGATGCTCATACCGCTGGCACTCCCTCGTTGCCGCGTTTGGGTCCGCCTCGACATTCTGGCCAGGACGCACCCCTGGAGAAGAAGAGGCGCAGACACCGATACACGCCGGTCGTTGAAAGTCGGTATTTTCGCCCAGGTCCCATTCTATTTCAAGCGCCTTCGTACTTCAAGAATCGATCTGCTTTTGCTGAGGTTATCTTATTCTCTGGGAGGATCTGAACCCAATCTACTTGATCCGCCTTCCCACTTCATGTTTTTACCTACTTCTTCCGACCGACGTGTGCCGCTGGCAGAGGGAGGGAGCGAGGGACCCAGACACTCGGCCGCTCCGATTTTCTTCGACGCATGGGCCCCGCAGGTCCGGGCCACTTCTCCAGGGCCGGTTTCTCCTCCCGCGTCGGTTGGCGACGGTGCCGAGGCCCAGCGAGGGCCCCCCCGGGGGGCCGGAGACGGCCCCGAACTCGCCGGCCCCACTTTGCTCTCTGGAGCTGCGGGCCTCTGGGAGTTGGGAGGGCTTGTCCGCGGGCCGGCGCCGCAGCGCCCCAGGGCCCGCGCGCGCGGGGGAGCAGAAGCCGTGACGGCGAACGCCTCGGGGGCAGCTCTTCGGGCCTCGCCGCGGCAAGGGGGTGCGGGGCACGGTGCGGAGCGCCTGCGCCACTTGGCGCAGCCCCACGGGGAGGAGGTGGAGGGGGGAGGCAGAGGAGACCGAGGGGCAGGAGGGAGATCGTGGAGGAGAGGAGAAGGGGGGCGAGGGCGCGGGGACGGAGGGAGGGAGGGAGGGAGGGAGAGAGGGAGGGAGGAGGGGCGACGACGGAGGGGGGAGGACGCGCCGTGCCCGCCAGAACGAACACCTCCGGCGCGCCCTCTGGACGTGCAACCCGACGAAGGAACGCCGCCCGCGCCCGCGCCTCGCGGCTGCCGCGCGTGGCGCTTCCTGGACGGAGCTCGCCCGAGGAGGAGGAGGAGGAGGAGGAGGAGGAGGAGGAGGAGGAGGAGGAGGAGGTCCGTTGCGATTCTGGCTCAAGTCAATTTTGGCATGAGCGGGCAGCCCGCTGCAGCGAGCACACCTCTGTGCAAGCAGGGGCGGACATTCGTCTCTTTGTTTTCTCCTTCACTGTACACTTCGCAGCAGACAGGCAAGGACGGTCTTGCCTGACAGATGAGTGGCCAGGCAGATGGAGGCCCGCCCAGGTCGAGGTTGCCGCAGCGGCTTATCACTCATGCTGAGTGCCCGAGCAATAAGGGGGCTCTGCGCGGGGGGCGTCGGCGAGCGCGCTCGCCGCCCGCTCTGCCCGTCAAAAAGCGAGAGATGGGGGTCGAGTTTCTTGGGGGCCTCTCCGAGGCGGAGCGGCCCGCGCCGTGCCGCGCCGGGCAGCAGAGCCATGCTGCCGTCGCCGTCACTGGAGGGGGCCCTGCTGCACCTCCGCACAGGCCGAGCCTCCTCGGGACGTGCGCCGGCCCACGGTGCGCCAGCCCGCCGGGCGCGGCCCGCCGGTCCCGCGCAGGTGCGCCCGCGCTCGCCGGCGCTGCCGACCGAAGTGTTCCCCGCTGCCGCCGCCCTTGCGAGCGCCGCGGACGTCGAGTCGTTGTTCTCGCACGCAGATTTCGCTGTCCCTCTTCGTCTCGCTCGCTCTCTCTCTCTCTCTCTCTCTCTTTTTTTTCTGTTCTCTCTCTCTCTCTCTGTCTCCTGCCCCGCCGAGCCCCACCAGTGGCACGCAGCCCGATGCAGGGCCCCTGTGGCCCAGCACGCGCTGGCGCGAGCCCGCGTGCTGAGGGTCGCAGAGCAGCGGCACGCAACCCGATGCAGGGCCCTCGTTGGCACGCCCGCGTCTTGCTGGCGGGCCCCTGTGGCCCAGCACGCGCTGGCGCGAGCCCGCGTGCGAAGGATCGCAGAAGGCGCCGAGGCCGGCCGTCGACGGAAGGAGCCCCCCAAAAAGGGGCTGGCGCGTCTCTTCAGTGCCGTGGGAGGGGGAGGAGGAGGAGGAGGAGAGGAGGAGAGGAGGAGGAGGAGGATTACCTGCTTAGAGTAGTATGAGTGAGATTTTTCTTTTGAGTGATGGATTCTAGCGTATGAGGCGGTAGCATTTAGGTTTTGCTTCTTCGCCTTCTTGCTTCTTCGTCTGTGTCTTCTGCTTCTTATCTTCTTCTTTCTGCTTTTCTTCTTTCGTCTTCTTCTTCTTCTTCTTCTTCTTCTTCTTCTTCTTCTTCTTCCTTCTCTTTCTTTACTTCTTCCTGCTTCCTTCTTCTTCTTCTATCTTCTTCCTATCTTCTTCTTTTTTCTATCTTCTTCTTCTTTATTCTTTTCTCTTTTCTTCTGCTTCTTCTTCTTCCTTTCTTCTTCTTCTTCTTTTCTTCTTCGTGCTTCTTAATTATTCTCGTTCTTCTTTTCGCGTCCTCTTCTTATGCTCGTCTTCTTCTTCTTCTTCTTCTCTTTCTTCTTCTTTCTTCTTCTTCTTGCTTCTTCTCTTCTTCTTCTTCTTCTTCTTCTTCTTCTTATTTCTTTTTGTTCTTTTCTTCTATCTTCTTTCTTGTTCTCTTCTTCTTCTTCTTCTGTACTTACTTCTTCTTCTTCTTCCTTCTCCTTCTTCCTTTTTCCTTCTTTTTCTTCTTCTTCTTATTCTTCTTCTCTTCTTCTTCTTTCCTGTCTTCTTCTTCTTCTTTTTTTTCTTCTTCTTGCTTCTTCTTCTTCTTTCCTTCTTCTTCTTCTCCTTTTCTTCTTCTTCTTCTTTCTTTCTTCTTCTTCTTCTTACTTCTTCTTTTTTTAGTCTTTCTCCCCCCCCCTTTGCTTTCTCGTCTTCTTTCAAAATGCCGCTTCTCCTCGCCTCATGTCGGGCGTGTCCCCCTACAGGGAGATTTTCGACCAAAGAATTTGAAGAATACCCAAAAGATACACCAAAATAGCCAAAACATGCTCAAACAATAGTCCCCCGACTATTTTTCGATTTTTTTTTGAGCATTTTGGGTTTTTTATGTTTCGTCGAAAATCCCCCTGTAGGGGGACAGGCCCGACTTAATCCTCGCCCTTTCCGTCTCGCCCCCTTTGGTGTCGAACCAGACCGAAGCGCAGTCTGGGCCAGCGCGACCCAGAAACTCCCACGATGATTGACACTGGATGGGCACGGCCGAAATGAGTACGAACAGAATGGGCACGAAGACCGACAGCAGTTCCTGTCCATTTTGAACGGGATGCGCTGTAGGCGTCGCCGGTCCCATTGTCCATGTGAGACAGAGGGCCGCTGTCGGTTCGGGGCAACATTTGTTGTTGGGCATCGGGCCCTCATTTCCGTAACGATTTCAGGCGTCCAAATTGGAGAGCGGGCGCCAACAAGTTTTTCGCGCGTGGCGCGCTTTGAGGCGGACCTTGGAGGGGGTAGCAGGACGGCGTATATTCCGCCGATTCTCGGCCAGCAGGGCGCACGCATCATGCCGCGGTCCAGGATGGCCCTGGCCGGGCACGGTGGTGGTTTTGTGTGAAGGAGGTGCCCTCCCCGTATCTCCGACGATTGAATTTTTCGAGGCGGGGTCCCTGGAGCTCTGGAGCACTGCCTGGAGCCTTGTGTTGTTCGTTTCGGATCGTTGTTTGACTGCCTTTCGGGTCCCCAGACGCCGAAGACGACAAACAAAACGACAAACCCAAGTCGGACTAGCATTCAGATCGCACGCTTGCAAGGCGTAATTAGTACAGAATGCAGGGCGTCGCTGGTTCTGTTTCGTTGGCGCTCCAAGGTGCCTCTGTGACGTGAATCGCTCAGGCCTGTATTCGCAGATGCTTCCGTCGTGTTGGTATTGGGTGACATGGGTGCTAGGGTGTCTACCGAAGTAGGCGTGCGTGCTCAGCGCACTCGAACGCAGCTAGCGTCCAAGTGGTGGTCCTGCATGCAATGCACGGGAGTAGGATGCCGTCTTCCGTCTGAGGAGAAGCGCAGCGCAGTAGCCAGAGCGGCCTGAATGGCCTCGTTCAGCTCAACACGCACGAGTGCCTGACCCGACTCCAGGAGAAGATGGGCGGCATTGCGATTGCTTTCATATTGTACCAGCGGGACGTGCATGTGATGAAACTCACACGTTCAGAGCAGCCCAGCACCGAATGCCGCCCCGATGCAACGGCCAGCTCAACGTGTGCGAGTACCTGATCCGTTTCCACGAGAACAGGGGCGACAAGATCATTGTCTTCAGGACGGGCGCAGCCTGCGATGCCCTCGCGTGGTGCAGCCCTGGCATTGTTCTCGTCTCCTGGGTGCTCTGACATCTGCGAATGGCACAAGTAGCAATCAGGGGCGAATGCAGCAGAGCATGGAACTCGATCAAGCATTGCTGTTGTGATTGACCTTGGGGTTGGTGTATCCTCAGCTCGCAGGCAAGCCGCGCGAGCAGAGGCGGCGAGAGAGCATCTGCATCCTGTCCATTACGGCTCCCTCTGGATCCCATTCTTCCCCGGCCCCTCATCTAGTTTGTTGTTATGTCCCACCGTTTCTTTGTACTATTGTCTCTTCCTCTCTCGCTCTCTCTCTCTCTCTCTCTGTCTCGCCTTGTCTGTCTCTGCGTGCTCCAGGTTGCTCGCACACTCTTTATTTTCGTTGTTCGTTCCCTTTTCGCGCTGGCGCAGCTTTCACTTATGCAGTAAACCTCTCTGTACATCCGGATCCGACCTTCCTCAAACCTCGTCTACTCCCCGCCTTTCTTCCTCTTGCCCCTAAGGTCAAAATGGCGCCAGAAGCGTTCCAAAACGTTAATGCTCTGTGAGATCCGACGTTCCGAAAAATTGTCATCTTGCTGCTTCATTCTCACAGCGGATCGATATGTGCTGGCCCCGGGCCCCAAGACCGGGCGAAAAAGCCTTGCGTGAAAAAAATGCAAGGCCCAGAGCTGAGGGTCCCTCCTCCTCCCCCTCCTCCTCCTCCTGCTCCTGCTCCTCCTCCTCCTCCTCCTCCTCCTCCTCCTCCTCCTCCTCCTCCTCTCTCCTCCTCCTCCTCCTCCTCCTCCTCTCTCCCTCCTCCCCTCCTCTCCCCTCCTCCCCTCCTCCTCCTCCTCCCCTCCTCCTCCTCCTCCTCCTCCTCCTCCTCCTCCTCTCCCCCCCCTCCTCCTCCTCCTCTCCTCCTCCTCCTCCTCCTCCTCCTCCTCCTCCTCCTCCTCCTCCTCCTCCTCCTCCTCCTCCTCCCCCTCCTCCTCCCCCCGTGAGCTGCGCCTGGCTCTCGGGCCACGGCTCGTCGGGCCTCCCACGGCCGTCCGGGGGACGAGCGGGGGCCCCCAGGGAGCCTTCGGCGAGGCGCGGCTGCTGGGGGAGCGCCCCAGGGCGAGAAGAAAACAACATATAACAATATAGAAAGCATTAAAACATAAACAAAACATAACAATCAAGACATAAACATAAAAAAGACGCCCACGAAACACCGAGAACGTGAACCTCGAACCTCGTCCTGCCGATGCCCAGCGACAACATCTTCATCCTCGAGGAGTTTGCCAAGCAGCTGGGCGCGCCCGCCCCCCTCCCCGCCGTCCGCCTCGATCCCGCTGCCCGCTCCCGGCCCCTTGCGGCCGCTCCGTGGCTGCAGCCGCTGCGGTCGCCTGCGGTATTGTTCCTCGCTTCCTCCACCCTCGCTTCCCCCCTTGTCCTCCTCTTCCTCGTCCTCCTCCGTCTCCTCCTCCGTCTCCTCCTCCGTCTCCTCCTCCTCCCTTCCTCGCTCCCTCCAAGACAAGACAAGACAAGACAAGACAAGACAAGACAAGACAAGACAAGACAAGACAAGGCAAGGCAAGGCAAGGCAAGGCAAGGCAAGGCAAGGCAGGGCAAGGCAAGGCAAGGCAAGACACGACAAGACAAGGCAAGGCAAGGCAAGGCAAGACAACCAACGGGTCCGCAAGCACCAGCGAAGCGCCAGCACTAAGCAAGTTCAAACTTAGGTACCGTGAGGGGAGATATATATATATATAAACAGAGAGAGAGAGAGAGAAGAGCGCGACACGCAAGTCACATCCTCGCATCGCATGGAGCAGGCCGATGTCCGATGTCCCTCTCCCCCGTTGTGAGGCAGGCCAGGGATCAGCTGGTGCTTCCCTGTCTACGGGTGGGGAGAGGGGGCTTCGTTCCTTCCCCGTGGGCGCTGCCCGACAGCCCTCGGGTCAGCCAGGGCTACCCCTTCTCAGAGAGGCCCCTGACTGGATCCGCCGCACTCCGTTTGATCCTCCGATTTGATATTGCGTCGGAGATGCAGTTCGAGCGGTGCGAAAACGTATAGGGCGGGAGCTTCCTCCTCAGAAAAGCAGGGCGGACAGCTCCGTCCGTTTATGGTATGGCGAAAGCAGCGACGGCAAAGCAGGGCGAAGATCCGCATCGAAGGAGTTGGAAAAGTAGGGCGGAAGTTTGGGCTCTACTTGCGAGATTGCCCCGAGTGCGGTGGTCTCGCGATGTGGTTCTGTCAGCATTGATTGTCTGATTCGTTTGTCACCACCCACCAAACCACCCCAACCCAACCCGAAGGCTCAGATTTACCCTCGATTTCCAGTGGGGGGGGGTCGGGAAACATTGAGAAAACACATGTGGAACCCTTACCCCCCCCAACCCGAAATTCGGGTCTTCGGGTTGGGTTGGGGTGGTCTGGTAGGTAGTCATGAATAGGGGGCCACGTGCGAACCCTACCCCTTCCCGCCAGCGATTTCTGAGGGGGAGGGTGGGGGTTCACGACGGTCGGGAGCTCCCGAGCGAAGTGAACCCCACCCCACCTCCTCAGAAATCGTGGGGGGCAGGGGTAGGGTTCGCACGTGGCCCCCCATGGAACCAAAAGAAACCAAGTCAAAACGGCGGGGAAACAACAGCAACAGCATCAAAACATGCACAAGAGGAGTCGGGGCCCGCCGCCTCCGCGGTGGCCGCGCTCGTGTCCCCGCTCTTGCGGGCACGGCTGGCTCCGGGCCGCCGTGCGCACCGCAGACCGCCGGGCCCGCTCCTGCTCGCGAGGCCGGGTGCCGCGAGCTCCGGGCTTCGGGCCCTCCTCCTCCTCCTCCTCCCCTCCTCCTCTCCTCCTCCTCTCTCCTCCTCCTCCTCCTCTCTGCTCCCTCTCCTCCTCCCCTCTCTCCTCCTCCTCCTCCTCCTCCTCCTCCTCCTCCTCCTCCTCCTCCTCCTCCTCCTCCTCCTCCTCCTCCTCCTCCTCTCTCCTGCTCTCCTCCCCCTCCTCCTCCTCCTCCTCCTCCTCCTCCTCCTCCTCCTCCTCCTGCTCGAGAGGCCGTGGCCGCGAGCAGCAGCATCAAAACATGCAAAAAAAAAAAGTCGGGGCCCGCCGCCTCCGCGGGGGCCGCGCCCGAGCCCTCGCTTTTGTGCGGGCACGGTGGTGGGCTCCGGGCCGCCGTGCGCACCGGAGACCGCCGGGCCCGCTCCTGCTCGCGAGGCCGGGTGCCGCGAGCTCCGGGCTTCGGGCCCTCCTCTTCCTCCTCCTCTTCCTCCTCCTCCTCCCTCCTCCTCCTCCTCCCTCCTCCTCCTCCTCCTCCTCCTCCTCCTCCTCCCCTCCTCTCCTCTCCTCCTCCTCTCCTCCTCCCTCTCCTCCTCCTCCTCCTCCTCCTCCTCCTCCCTCCTCCTCCTCTCCTCCTCCCCCCTCCCCCTCCTCCTCCTCCTCCTCCACCTCCTCCTCCTCCTCCTCCTCCTCCTCCTTTTTCTTTTCTTCCGACACCGATGGGAGCAAGAACTGCTGCACTGACGAATGACATGCAAAACGAAGCGGCGGCGGCAGCGGCGTCAACCAGCACGGTGCCTGTCCGCCGCGTAGCGGCCCCACCCGTGACCCTCGAAATAAGGGTCGTAGGGCACATAGAAATCCTGCACCTGTGGCGGGACCTCGGGGACCTGACCGACTTCCTGCAATTCACAATCTCGCACAGTTAGAAGAAGTGCCTGGGCAATAATCTTACACAACTGCGACGGATATTGCTTCGCTGCTGCAGTTCGGAAATCGCCATTCCCTCGGACCCCGACGAGCTCTTCGGGATGAGAGGTGTGGGGGCATTTGCCCCCGCCTGGCAACTGAGCAACTAAATCACGAATCGTCGGCACGTTAACGCACAACAGGGTAGTGGGTTTCTTTGACCGATCACCACACGTACATTGATCTAAATTCAGAAACCTGATGTCAGCACGAGCTCTGAATCCAAACACTGCAACCATCTCAGGGAGGCGCCAGATCGAGGGGAGGTGAGGGGCCTCCGGTTCAAGAGGATGTTCTAAAATACAGGCAGCTCCCACGGCCGCACAAACATACACGACCTGAAGCATAGTCTGCAACAAACGATTGCCGAGCATAACCTGTTTCCACTCAGATGGCGAGCGGGCCACCAGGCCCCATAAAAATTCCCTGGACCGCAGGACGCGAGGCTTCATACCCCCATTAGGCGGTGGATTCGCACGGCCCTTGGACCAGGTCTCGCACGGGGGCCCTCCAACAGCACCGAGGGCCTGCCCTGACCACAACATTTCTAATATTTTAGCGACCGAGGCTTCTACTGTAAGGTCACCTCGGTCTGGACTATTGGCAACGTCGATCGATAACATTACCACAGGTACACGAGCGGCCATCCGAAGCATTTCGAAGTGAGCTTGCACGTCGCCTGCCCGACGTTGGCCGCTGAAGAGATGCAAGAAAAAACGCACTTCTGACGGCGAATTACTGAGCACAGCAGGGGCATCAACGTTCTGATCCCGTCCGCGCTCGACGCCGTCAGTCGTGGCTCTGGCAATGTTGGCCTCAACTGGGCCTCCCAGCACAGGTCCGATAAAGGCAACTGGCGGTGCGGTAGCTGCATTCCGACATTCCCCCCGCCCCCGACTAGCCCTCGCCGCCCGAGCATCTTCCTTTCGCAGCTCCAGCACTCGCTCGACTGGCATGGGCTTCAAATGGTGCGCAAGCACCGTGAGGCATCGGCTCGAGCCGAAGTGGAGGTGGCGGAGTAGCCGCCCTCTGGTGTGCCAATCTTGGCCGCAGGCGTGACAACATGATCCTAGTGCCAGCGCTCCTGCTAGGTCAAACTCTGGATGCGCGAGAGTGCGGTGCCTTCCCCACGCCGCTTTGGTGTTAAACACCTCTTCGCACTCTCTGCACGGAAACACTACATTCTCAACAATTTTTTTGAGGATGGGGGGAACGGGGAGTTTGCCACGCTCGCAGATGGCAACCAGCTTAGATTGCCACACAGCAACCTCGCAGCTCGCCAGGTGCTCTGCCATGGCGCCTCTCTCCGCCTCTCTACACCAAGAAGTCCATTTTTTGGGGCAATCACGGGCTACGCCAATCCACCACGGCAAGTCCCCGACAGGAGACCATTCGATCGGGATCGTGATCCGATCGTACATCCACCAGATATCTTGCCTCACGAGATACGCCCAACTGTTCTTAACACTGACAAGTGCGTCAAGCATGTGCAACAACCCGTCCGATCCGAACCTCAAGACTTTTTCCAAAAACCGAAGCCTCCTGAGGCGCAGAGTGACGAGAGCAGGGAGACGGCGGCATCTGAGGTAAACTTCAGGCGTAGACCAATCGCACACATCGTCTAGCTCCTGCCTCCGAAGGCCCACAGCAGCCCTGAGAGAGGCCATAAACGCAGTTTCCAAGTACTTCTGATTACCTGCATTGAGTGCGGACCAGACGGCACCGTGAAAGAACACCCGGCTGTGGCAGAAAGCGGCAGCATACTTGACACGGGTGTCAACAGGTAAATCGTTGCTACGGGTGAAAACCGCATTCTTAAGCCCCCCTAAGTACCCCCAACTGGATGTGGTGCCTATGCGCAAGCTCAGCATTCATGGAGCCCGAGGCGTGCACCATAGATCCCAAGTGCCTGCACACGTTAGCAACAAAAACGGAACGCTTGATAGCAGGGACCCACAACTCCCCCTTAAACGCAGCTATCTTCGCTTCAACAACCTTCTTGCCCTCGCCGATAGGGTGGAACATCAGGGTCGATTTGCCCTCCCCGTAGTTGACGACAAACCCCCTCGCCGTCATCACTTGATGCACAGCTGTTACGACAACTTCGGCCAACTTACAGCAGTCTCGTGCCTTGGCACATGCCTGCAGCACTGCAAGATCGTCCACATACGAGGGCGACCCTATGCGGCTGTCCAGCTGCTTGTCGCGGCTGGTGAAGGTGCGTCCTACCCGCGGGCACATGTCTTCAACGTTTAAGTCGATACCTTCGGCGAAAAACCTCATCCTCAACTCCTCATGCACGGGGGCAAAAGCGAGGGTAAAAAAGAAATCAGCAGGGGGCATGCCCGGCCTTGCCCCCAACGTCGCTTGCGCAACGGACGTAGCATCTTTTACCTGGAACCAGGTGCTCGAGTTAACATCGGCAACTGCATCTCTCAAGTGCGGGGTACCTACCCTGTCGAACACAGCTGGCTCTGCCAGCAACTGCCTCATCACCCCCTCAAGCGCTAGCGGCAACTGCAGATTGTCGATGACATCCTCCAGGTCCTGCTGTGCCGA